AGGTTAGCAGCCTGATTCATAACCACTACGCTACCAGAGCTCCTTGGTCTTCCCTATAGGCACATGGATATTATCCTATCACAGACAGCATTGTACCTCATGACTGATCTGGATATATTCTTTTTGACAATGAATGCAACACATTCCTCTTCAATTTTTCATTCCTGGCATAGTAAACCATGTAGTCATCAGATTCAAAATGGCCAATATCAGTCCATTTCAGCTCACTAATGCCTAAGATATCAATGTTATGTGTTCCATTTCATTTTTGACAACTTCCAATTTTTCCAGCTTCATACTTTGTACATTCCATGTTCTTATTATTAATGGATGTTTACAACTGTTTCTCTTCATTTTGAGTTGTGCCCTATCAGCAAATGAAGGTTCTGTGGGCTTTTCTCCTATGGGCTTTACTTCATTCACGTCATCATGGTCAACTCTACTTTGAGGAGGCAGCTCTTCCCTATTCGCATTTTGAGTGCCTTTCCAACCTGAGGGGCTCAGTTTCTGGCACTATATCTGACAGTGTTTCTCTGCTATTCATAAGGTTTCCATGACTAAATATTCGGAAGTAGTTCATCACTCCTTCTTCCTAGTCTGTCTTTCTCTGGAAGTACATCTGAAACCTGTGCACCATGAGTGACTGTGCTGGTATTTAAAATACTGGTGGCATAGCTGCCAGAATCACAGCAACTCACAAGCCACCACAGTATGACAAACTGACAGAAGAGTGGTGCATTAATAATATAAGACATTTTTAATAATAAAGCAGATGTCAGAGACTTGGTGTGGCATTGTAGGATAAGCATTGCATTGTAAATTTGGTTTGAACCACAAGGTCAGGGGGTCAGCCTCACTAGTTGTTCCTTTGAAACCCTGTACAGGGTCACTATGATTTGGAACTGACTCGACGGCACTTAACAACAACAGCAAAAAGTCATAGATGCTAAGGGTTTCTCAGAATACCAATAGTATAAAGTAAGCTACACTAAAGTGCTGCTGTTAATTGCTGTCTAGTTGCTTCTAACTCATAGCAACCCTTATAGGGTTTACGAGGAGTGGCTGGTGGGTTTGAACAACTGACCTTGAGGCTGAAACTGATCTTGAAGTCCAGTATATTACCCTGCAGCACCACACCAGGACATGTTGTTGCTGTTGTTTTGTCCTGTTGAGTTGGTTCCAACTCATAGCAACCCTGTGTAGGGTTTCCAAGGAGCAACTGAGTTAGAACTGCCAACCTATTATTCAAACCGACCTTGTGGTCCAGTGCTTTATTGCACAGTGCCACACCAAGACTCCAACACCAGGAGTTAGGTTAAGAATTTTATGCTGATTATTGTATGTAAAATATAAATTCATTTTAAGGCAAATTATTTTATTCATAATAAAGTTAAACCCGAATGTGGTACTGTGGGATGATGCACTGGGCTGCAAAGTCACTTTGAACTGCAAAGTCAGTGGTTCAAATTCACCAGTTGCTCCTTGGAAACCTTGTACAAGGTTGCTATGTGTGAGAACTGACTCGATGGCACACACCAACAACAGCAAACATGCCATAATACACATATTCAGAATTCCCCTAAAAGCAGAAATAATAAAAATTCCTTTCATTTATGATAATTAGTAAATAATACTTTTTTACTATTTTTATTAATTGTCAAGGAATCTCAGAACTGAAATGAATGTTAGAAATCATCTAGTGCAGTATTTTCTAAAAGTTTTATTGTAGGTTGTTAATATGTTCTTTTTTGGGGATAAGACAAACAAAATTTTCTCAAAGCCTAATTGTTTGAGAAAATCTGGGTTAACATATCAGAAGGGTTTCTTTATCGTCAGGCATTGGATGTCTTAATATACCAGTATTCATGGTCACAGATGCATGTGAAAGTTGGACAATGAATAAGGAAGCCATGGAAGAATTGGTGCATTTGATTATGGTGTTAAAGACGAACATTCAAAGTAAGATAGACTGCCAGAAGCACAAACAAATCTGTATTGGAAGAGGTACAGCCAGAATACTCCTTAGAAGCCAGGATGATGAGAGTTCATGTCTCATATTCAGTCCCAGGAGAAGGACATTATGAGTGGTAAAGTGGTGGGTCTGTAAAAAAGCGAAAGCTCCTAATGGGAAGTATTGGCATAGTGGCATTAGCCATGGGCTAATGCCATAATAATTGTGAGGATGGCACAGAATTGGGCAGTGTTTTGTTCTATTGTGCATAAGGTTGCTATGAGTCAGAACAGACTCGAAGGCGCCTGGCAACAACAACATTCGTGGCCAGTCTCTCAGGGAGAGTGAGGGATAGAGTATGTAGCCCTTCTCAATGTCACATGATTACATAGCTCTTGTTTTGTGGAACATTTTGTAGAACTAGTGTTCCCTGGAATCCACGTTGGGAAAACATATCTAGCTGTCTCACAGTCCTGTGAAGACTTTCATGAGAGTTCTGTCACCCCTCCCCAAACATGTGCAAGCCTCTAATTATGAGTCTGCAGGACAACAAGTTCATTCACTAAAAGGCCTGTAATTTGATGGACTGTTCTAATCACTGGGAACCTCTTTAATGTATTGAACTGAAAACTTCTTGAAGGATCCTATGGCACATTGCAGAGTATAACTCTTTTCTGCTCTGTGTAGCAAGCGGAACAACACGGATGATCAAGTCATGATTCAGATTCCGTCTGTGGGGTCAGACTGCCTCCATCTGAATCCCAGCTCTGCCATGTACAGGCTGTGTAACTGGCCAGTCACAGACAAGGATAATAATAGAATATACTGCAAAGGGTTACTGAACAGCATAGGTTTAATGTGTTCATACATGCAAACCCCTTAAAGCAATGCCTGCCATGTACACATATACAGTAAGTGCTTAATAAATTCGTTATTCACTTATTTAAGCTTATTTTAAGCACTTATTCGCTGCCATTCCCTGTATTTTATCACTTTCTAGTTCATGTTAGGCCTTAGTACGTTTTCCAGGGGCTGACTATCCAAGAAATGAGATAAGCATATGTTTACTTGTGCTTAGTTACTCATCTGTAGTGAGCAATTCCACATGGATTTCACCATATCTTTGATGTGCAAAACATGTGAAACTGTTCACTACAGATGAGGAACTAAGTACAAGTAAGTCTGTGCTTACTTTGCTTATTAGGTAATCAGACACTGACAGTCTTTCAGAATAAGAGCTCTAGATTTGGGTATTTCTGAAGTGTAATAGTCAAACGATTTCCAAAAGAGACCCATATTGCTCAGAATCTTGAGGATAATTCACCATAATTCTCTATTCCCCTTCTTCATGATTGGGTTTCAGGTTTGTCTGTGCTAATAAGTATGTTTTATTTAACTAAGGCAAAATTCACAAAACATGAAGTTAACCATTTTAAAGTAAGCAATTCAGTGGTAATTCGTACATTCACAATGTTGAACAATGACAATCTCTATCTAGTTCCAAAATGTTTAATCACACCCTTCCACCCCATAAAAACAACAACAAAACTCCACAATTATTGAGCCAGTTGCTTCACATTACTCCTTTCCTACAGCCCCTGGCACCCAACAATCTGAAAACTAACATGTGTATACTGTGTTTGTTTGAACACTAGTTTTCAATTCTTTTGAGTATCAGTCTAGGAGTGGGATTGCTGAATCATATGTAGTTCCATGGGACTTTTGAGGCACTGCCAAATGTGTTTTTCCTCAATATGTGTATTTTCATTCTAACTAGTATAGTAGTACATGAGGATTTCTGTTTCTGCACATTCTTGTCAACATGTATTGGCTGTTTTCTAGATGATAGCCATTCTGGCTAATGATAGTAAAGATCTTTCATGGGCTTGTTGGTCATTTATGTATCATCTTTAGAGAAATGTCTATTCAAGTCCTTTGCCTATTTTGTAAATTGGGCTGCTTATCATTTTGTTGCTGAGCCCGTAAGCTTTTGATACACCTGTTCTCAATATCCAATCTCTGCTTGCCCAAACCGCTGACCGAGAGATATTCCCTAGACTGGCTTAGGCTGCTTGGACTTTTTTCTTTAATCCTTTGTTCAGTCCAGGCCTTGTAGATCTAGCTGTTTTCCTCATTATGCCCCAGTTCTAGCCTCTGGTTTAGGTAGACTATTTCTAATTCCATCTTCTCTTCGCAATACAGAGTCCTAACATTCCTGAATAGATCTTTCTTGTATTGAGATCCTGCCTTCTTTGAACCTCCCAGTTGGATCTCAGAATTAGTGGTCAGTGTGGATGCTTCTGACCTCAGGTTTCTACTGATTTTTCAACTTCCTGCAGTCTAACCTACCCTGGACCATGGACTTGTACCTTTGAATGCTAGAAATATTAGCATTTATTAGTCTCTTTATTTGGGGTAAGGAATTTAATGAGTACCTACTATGTACAAACAAGCTCTTGGAGTTGCCAGCTAAATAGTCTCATTTCTTATAGTGTCTTTTCATGTAAATTAGTCAATTAAAGATGAGAAATGTACCTTTTCCGATTCTTTATCCTCATTGCAATTCTCTTAGGAAAAACACACTCATGTAAACATGGCTACAAACAGAAGTTAATCAGTTTCTTGTGATATATTGCCTATTTATTCCAATACAGAAACAAACACTTTATTTGGGGGAACTAAAACCCTGATAGGTTTGAAACAGGGCTGCTCTCCTGGGTGTTGGCTGGCCACCTTTCAGTGGCTGCAGTCCTCCATGTCTCTTGACCATCTGCTGGCATAACTGGTGAATAGTTGGCCTGGATGCCCCTGTTGCTTATGTAGTGTGGCGTTGTAGGATAAACACTGGACTGCTAATTGCAAGGTTGCCGGTTTAAACCATCAGCAGCTCCTCAGACACCCTTAAAAACAATTGACAATAACAATAACATGTATCCCATGTTCACTTCCTTGGCAAGTTGGAGTTCATGCCAGGCAGAATGTGATGAGCAAGAGTCCCAGAGGAGTTATCTTAGGAAGCGTCTGTAACAGCATGCCTGGCTGGTCTTACCTGCATCAGAGAAAAGAAATGATTCATCGACATCCCAATAGAGTTCTGCAACCAGCTCTCTTTAATGATATCAAGACGCTCTTGCTCCGCCTCTTCTTTCCGGGCATCACAAATGTCCCACAGACGGTCTCTTAAATCCTGATGAGAGAAGAAGCATTGCTGATATGTTTGCACATCATAGCTCAAATTCTGTGTAAGAAAACTGAGTCCTATTGTGGCACTGTAGGATAAACACTGGACTGTGGCAGTTCTAATCCACCAACTGCTGCTTGGAAACCCTATACAGGGTCATTATGATTTGGAATGGACTCAACAGCACTTAACAACAATAAGTTTAAAAAGTCCCTAATGAGAATTTAGATCTAATGCACTTATGTATTTATTTTATTCATTCATGAAACAAGTATTTATTTTGCTTCTCACTTTCTAAGACCACTTCTTGGAATCCTATGTCCATGTCCACTACAAATTCACTGGATGGGGGTCTATGTTTTATGCATTTTAATCCTTCCTCAAAAAATCATGGCTGAAAAATTCTTTTTAATTTTTTTTTTTGTAGTTAAGTGCCATCGGGTCGATTCCAACCCACAGCGACCCTGTATAGAGTTTCCAAGGAGCAGCTGGTGAGCTTGAACCACCAACCTTGCATTTCAAATGACTTTGCAGTCTGACGTATTAGCCCACACGCCACACCAGGGTCGTCTTCTTTAGTCAATTATGAGAGAAATAATGAATTGTTGGTGGAAGAGATATGTTGTTGCTGTTGTCAGGTGCCATCGAGTCGGAACCGACTCATAGCGACCCCATGCACAGCAGAACGAAACAATGTCCG